ATGTAGGTCTTCTTTTCATGTTTCTGTTTTAGTTGCAAGAAGTTGTGCAACATCCTTTAAATTATTTATACATTAAAGTATAATAAAAGTACCAATGCAGACGGACTTATAAAACCACATTCTTTATTTACAAATAGACATTTTGCAGTGATTTCAAACATTCCATAAAAGATTGTCAGACTCAAACTCTGATTTGTAGTCTCCAAATTAAACACACATGCTCGCATCAAACAGAAGTACACACCGAGTCTGTACACATCGTCACCAAAATAGATCTCATTACAAAATATAGTGCTGAGTATAAATAGTCGTGTAACGCTGACCAGGTTTATTCGGTTTCGTAAATCGACATATACAATTATTCCTAATCGGGTGTATGAAAATACAGCTGCAAAAATACTAAAATAGACTCTGCACTTTGTGTACACATGGATTTCTGCAGGTTATTTAGTTTTGCAGGTTCTACATTTCCAGCAGCAAATACAGTATGTAGGGATGACATGCTTAAAAATAAACCAGTGCTTCAGATTATCAGACAAATGTTTATATGTGCTTCAGGTCATGTGACTGACATAAAACAGAGAACCTGAGGATGTAAGGAGGAGGACAGAAAGCTGAGCCAGTCAGCTTCAAAGTGACATGAACAGTCCGGACCTCACGGTTACTGTCAGAATAAGAAACAACCGTCATGTGTTGCTGCTTCCAGGTAGAAACAGCTCAACAACATGAAGATGTGAACATTAGAGCAGGTTGGGGCACCTTCGCACTGACCATGACACCGCCACAATGAAAGAACTTAACCCCCTTCCCCAAAAAGATGGTCTTTGCAAGATCTTGATGAGGTCTTTAAGGATGTACTGAGACCAGAATGGGCTCCTCAGTAAGTGTAAAGGTTTTGTAGCATGGAGGGGGGGTCAATGTCCAGTGTGTTGTTCCGGTTAAAATGATGTATTTTATCTTGTAAAGGTGAAACGAACTGCACTCACAGGTTGTTGGTCTGAACCCTCCACCTGCTTCTGACTGAAGCGGTTCTTTGCTCTGGTCCAGTGAAAACCTGGTGCCGACAGGTTTTCTTTTAATGCTAGAGGCAGAGCTTACAATGGTGGGAACAGAAAGAGCTGGTGCGAAGTGAGGTCTGGCACAGGATCAGTACTGGAGCCCAGTTGGTGGATAAAGCCCCGTACTGGTTTTAGCTTTTGGGTGCAGACTCGTGAGCAGCAACAGGGAAGCCTTTACCCAAGACTGGACTCTTATTTCTATGAAACAAATAAAATTATTGTTGGAGGTTGCAGTTCAAGAAATCTGATAATTTTGAAACGACAGTAAGAAGCACAGACATGAAAAACAATAAAACTAAATTAAAAAGTAGACAAATTCTGAGATTCAAGTGTCATCAGTATAAATCTAATGATGGAGATGTTCTCTATACATCAACAAACTCTCTACAACTTTACAACCAAGTACAAACAGAACAAGTGATGGGAGAAAAGGAGCATTTTCTACGGGCAGAGTCTTGGGCCATCGTAAGCTGAATTTGAATTATTCAGATGTAAATTGAAATAAAATCCACTGGTTTCAAAATGAAGTTCACGAAATTGAAACAGAATTTAATGGTTTGAAACTGTATTTTGTTGTCCAACAAAGTTCAGTCAGGTCATCTGGACAGCTTCTTTTTTTGTTGTTGTTGAGACATTTCGTCCTTCATACAAAGGACTTCATCAGTCTGAAAAAAAGAAAATGTCCAGATGACCTGACTGAACTTTGTTGGATTTTTTTACCTGGATTAGTGAGCATGATCTTTGATGTATTTCGTTGTGATGACAATTCAGTTTGACTACTTTCATTTTCAGTTCTGTAATTCAAGTTCAATTCCTAAATTCAGTTTGTTTTACACATCCAGGTCCTGGAGAAAGCCATGGAGTAATTGACAATTTACGTTTCATGTAAGTGAAACTTCCTTTATGGAAATGTAGGCTCGGGGCTCAGTCTCAAGGAGGCAGAGATGCAACAAAGTGTAAAAGAATGTAAATCACCAAAGAAGAAGAACTTCCTTAATAGCATATTTTGAGCTGGAGCAATGGCGCACATGAGTTCATGCCAAGTTCATGTGGCACCACTGCTCCAGCTCAAAATATGCCGTAAGAAAAGTTCCTCTTCTTTGGCGTTTTACGGTGGATTGCATCTACCGCCTCCTTGACTGAACCCTGAGCCTACATTTCCGTAAAGGAAGTTTCACTGAAGTGAAACGTAAATCTGTCTATCTGCTTTCGATTACTCTGTGGCTTTCTCAAGGACCTGGATGTGTGAAACAAAAAACTGAATTTAGGAACTGAACTTGAATTATAGAACTGAAAATGAAAGTAGTCAAAATGAATTTTCAATACAGTGAAATACATCAAAGTTCAAACTCAATAATCCAGATTTAAAAAATCCAACAAAATTCAGTCAGTTCATCTGGACAGTTTCTTTTTGGACTGATGAAGTCCTTTGGATGAAAGACCAAACATCTCAACAACAAAAAAGAAAATTCGGACTGATGAAATCCTTTGGATAAAGGACAAAATGTCTAAAAAAAAAAAAAAAAAAGAGAGAAAAACAAAGCAAAGAAATTAAACTGTCCAGATGACCTGACTGAACTATGTTGGATTTTCTACCTGGATTAATGAGCATAAACTTTGATGTTTTGAACCACTTTGGCTATGGCTGCCTCAGAGGAGTTGATGGGGTAGAGGGTAGGCCTCTTGTCACCAGCAAACTGGTTGGTCCATTATGAGTGTGCTGCTTGTGGAGCTAAGTTTGTTTTGGCTCCTGGGACTGATGAAGTCCTTTGGATGAAGGACAAAACTTCTAAAAAAAAAAGTCCAGATGACCAGACTGAACTTTGTTGGACAACGAAATACAGTTCGAAAGCAAATGAATTCAGTTTCAAACCATTAAATTCAATTTCAATTTAGTGAAATTCGTTTTCAAACCAGTGGATTTAATTTCAAATTACGTGAATGCAGATTCAGTCTGAGCGCTTAGAAAAGGAGCATTTCAGATTAGCTGTGAACTTGTTATAATGCTGGTGTGGTTCAGTCACTTACGAACTATTTTTAATTCAAATCAACTCCTAACAAAAAAAAAAAATGACGTCCTGCCGGGACACCTTACAATTTTAGGAATATAACAGGGTTCCTACACATTTCCTATTTCAAGGCTTCACACTTTTCCAGGGTCAAATTTTATATATCTATATCTATAAATATCTTTATATAAAAGTAGGAATATTCTGTGCATACAAATTATCAGATGCATGTAATCAAATCACCTGCTGAGGACGAATCAGTCAACACGAGCACACGGTTAATAATTAAATAGTGAAACACCTGAAAATACATTTCTCCCTGTAGTTTTTCCACAAGAAAAAAATGTACATTTTGTGGACTGTTTGGCTGAAATAAAAATAAGTAGCTTATTCTTCTTGTAGAAAAACTACTGGAAAGTGTATTTTTTTACAATAAATTTTCCCCATGAAGTATAACCTACTTTAAGTTATTTTTTTACACAAAATTAACACTTTTGTAATCCAGTAACATTAATGGAAGCATGTGTTTTAATATATGGGTTATGATGCTGTGCAGAGTTAGGAATGTGTCTTTTCCCAATAACTCGGTATGTGTGGCAACACACATGTCCCAGCTCTTCACCAGCCTTGAACGCAGCATTACCTTTGTGAATCTGGAGCAGTGAGAAAGTCTCAAAAGTCTCATTCACAGGCAGCTGATGATTTATTTACAGCAGGTGATTTGTTCACATGTATGTGACAGTTCGTATGAGCAGAATATTCCTACTTGTGTCCATTTGAACAACTGTTGATGACTTTATGAACCTTTTACGCCTGTGAATTTTATTGTACCCATAAGAATTTAGTTGAGACTAATTTATCTTCATAAACGAGGGTCTTACATGGAAATCTGAGCAGTTGTTACAGAAAAACAGGTAAAAATCTCTAGAAACAAAGCTCAGATTATTTAGACAAATGAAGTTTCTGTTGCTTAAACACGACTGAATTACTGAGATTTCTTTTACATGTGCAACTCAAAAGAACGATTCTGAGCATTAAAAATAGGAACCATCTCCTAACCACGTCCAACACGCACTTCCACCAACAGAACATTTTAAAATACTAAAAATACAAACTAGATCTGCTTCAAATGACCAATCATGTACCATTATGAATTACAAAAATACTAACATGTTCAAAAGTAACTCCTTTATATCATTTAAAATGATTTAAGAACAAATCTAACAGGTAGAAATAACCTTAACAAAAAGTAAACAAAGAAACAAAAAAAGAACAAGAGCTTTGGGTCACGACAAACTAGCATTTTAATGTCGGAAAACCCAGGAAAAAAAAAAAATCTACTTTTTAAGATCTCCATCTGCCTCGGTAAGGCTGAACATCCAGAGCCCGGTGAGATCCTGGCCTTTAGTTTGTAGAAGCAAAAGAACTGTTTCTGGAACGATGAAGTGAAACTGTCATTACGTCAGTGTGAGGAAGCTGCTAAATATCTTATTAAAATGTAAACCACAGAGAACATTTATGTTGAAGTTTTCTTTTAGATCTGACTACTTCTTATGAAACTTTGTAACAAAAATCAGCGGACATGGTCCAGAATATTTGATTTATAATCTATAATCTATAAAAAAAATAAGTCTTGAGCTGCAGCAGACCAGAATTATCAGACTGAGTGGAAATAAAAAAAAGTCCAAGGTTCTATCTGAGTTCTGGGTTTTACTGTCATGAAGATGTCCTTGGGTGGACTTCTTCTTCAGCGTTGTGTCAACGCAACGGGGTGGGGGTGGGGTGGAGGGGGGGGGGGGGCTCCTTGGGCTATTTAACAGTACCATTAAATCTCATTTAGGCAGAGATGTGACCTGCTACATGTTAGCCCACCTCTCCCTTCTCTCTATTGCTTAACCAGTGGATCACTTCATGTGGCAAAATATAAACAGGTTCAAGAGAGGCACAGGGAGCTGGGGGATGGAGCGAGGGTACAGACAGGGGTGGGGAGGCCGTAATAGGAGGGGTCTGTGAAAGGGAAGAGGAAGATGAAAAAGAAAAGGACCCCCAGTAGGTAGGACAACAGAACCGTGTGGCGTTGTGGATGTTCCAGTGCTGTGCTGATGGCAGGGAAACCCATGTAGTTACAAAAGGAGTGACAGAGAACCGGACCCATCAGGTGACCTGGAACACAAAGAGAAATGATTCTCAGTGACCAGAAGAAACAGGAAGCATCATGGATATTCACCAGAGGCCTCATGAATAAACGGTGGCATACGCCCTTTTCATCGCAAAACTCCACATGTATCAATACGTACAGGACCGTATGTTAGTATGAAAACGTCTGTTGTAGATTACTTCAATGTTAACGTGGGACCAGAAGAACAAGAATATGATGCAGATCAGAGTCAGAGAGTCAGAGTCAGAGATTCTTTATTGTCATTCGCACCTCATGTGATGGAGTGAAATTATGTACACAGGGTCCCAGTTACATCCAACAATAAAATGTATAAGAAAAACAGTAATAACATCTAAGATATGAACTAAGAAAAACATCAACTAAATATACACTAAGCACTCATGTTCATGTTTGTGCTGACGTTCAATGTTTTATGTTACGAGTCTGTGTGAGCGAATGTGCACGCATGAACACATCAACATCGAAACAGATCAGCAGCAACATGAAACAGATCAGCAGCAACATGATGTGGTTTTTCACAGTGATTATTCTAGTTAGATATTCATGAGTCTAACAGCCTCAGGGTAGAAGCTGTTCCTCAGTCTAGTGGTTCTACACTTAATGCTCCTTAACCTCCTTCCTGAGGGGAGTGGGGCAAAAAGTGTATGTGCTGGGTGAGTGAGGTCCTTCATGATGCAGGTGGCCCTCTTCCTGCATCTGGAGGTGTAGATGTCTGTGATGGTGGAGAGACTGATTCCAACAGATTTCTGTGCAGCCTTCACCACTCTCTGCAAAGCTTTTCTTTCTGCAACTGTGCAGCCTCCATGCCACACGTTGATGCTGGAGCACAGGATGCTCTCCACTGCACACCTGTAGAAGGAGGTGAGGACTGAGCTTCCCAGACCAGCTCGCCTCAGCTGTCTGAGGAAGTAGAGTCTCTGAGCTTTCTTGATCAGGCTGGTGGTGTTGTTGCTCCAGCTGAGGTTGTCATTTATGTGTACACCCAAGTACTTGTAGCTGGAGACCACTTCCACTGCAGATCCTCTTATGTTCAGGGGGGTGTAGATGTTTCTGTTCCTTCTGAAGTCCACAATCATCTCCTTTGTCTTCTTCACATTGATGTGAAGGTTATTTTCTTTGCACCAGCTCTCCAGGTGTTCCACCTCGGACTGCAGATAAGAGTCCAGTTAGGAAAGCTCCAAGCATTTCAGACTGTGGGCTGTAGGGCTGGGTGAATAGGACTAAATATATCATCTTGATATTTTTAGCTGAATGGTA